CGTGCCGGTGGAGACAACCTGGGCCTGGAGTGCAGCACGGCCTGGCTGTGCCCCCGTGCCCCATCCTGCAGCCACAGACCCCCGGGCAGGGGACAGGCTGTGTCCCTGAGCTGGGAGGGTTTGGGTGCTCCCTTCACCCCCAAGGTCTCTGTGCACCCTCACTCACAGGCTCCGTCCCTGGCTGCAGCGCTTGGGCAGGGGGTGGTTCTGGGGTGTGGGTCAGGGATGCTCCTGGGTACCAGTCAGGGATGCTCCCAGGGTATCCCTCAGGGATGCTCCTGGCCCCAGCCTGCTCTGGGAGTGATGTCATGCCATGGACCTCACACATCTGACAGGTGTCTGTGCTGCAGCTGTGACCCCAGGAGGAGCCAGGTGTCTGTCTGTCCCTGTCCCTGTCTCTGTCTCGTCCCATGTGAGGGTGGGAAGGGGTTAATGGTGCCAGGGTTTGCCCCACTCCCCTCCCAAGGCCCGTTCTGGTCCGAGCCTGCCCTGGGCACACCTGCCAAGGGTTAACCCGGCCCGGGCTGTTCAAACACCTCGGCTGAGGTAAGCGCTGCTTGTTTGTTCAGGTAAATAAGGAAGGAATCGGATATAATGGGCAAAGGAGGCTCTGGCTGAGCCCTGATACTCATTGCCGGCGTCCCCCTCGCTGGCTTCATCCCTCTGCTTCCCCCGGCGCCACGCGGGGTGCCCCGTTCCCCTCGCTGTCCCCTCGCTGTCCCCTCCCCGCCGGTGCCCCCGGGCCCGATGCGGCTCGGCCCGGCCGCGCTGCCGCGGAGCCGGCGCTGAGCCGGGCGCGGTGCTGCCCCGCCGGGGCTGGGACACCTCACCTGGGGCCGGGACACCTCACCTGGGGCCATGTCCCCCGCAGACACCGCGCCCAGCGCCGCGGGGACGGCTCTTCCCACCCTGCGCTGGCACCCATGTGGATTCTGAGCTCGCACAGCCTCGAGGTAAGGCGCCCGTGCTGCCGCGACCCCCGGCTCCCCCCGCACCCACCCAGCCCACCTGCCCTCCCTCCAGGGGTCCTGCTCTCGGCACCAGTGTGGGGTGGACATGGGGCTGTGCCATGTCAGAATGCCGCCCCACAGCTCCTTGCACCTCCTGAGCAGGGACAGGCTGTCCCTCGGTGCGAGGCTCCCGGCGTTTCTCTGCGTGCTGTCAGTGAAAATGAAACGGGATTTGCTAATCTTGTGTCTCTGCAGCCTCCTCCTGCTCAAGGAAGGGGGGTGGGATGGAGCCAGGACTCATGGGGCCAGCTCCTCCTGAGCCCATCTGGTGACAGCTGGGACACCCAGGGTGCCACCAGCCCGTGTGCCAGGCAGGGGACAATGAGCTTTGGGGCATCGTGTGACAAACCAGCAGTTGGGACCCTTTATGGAGCATCCTGGGTGGCTGTTGGGGAGCTGCCAGCTCCGGGGTGTCTCTGTGGAGCTGAGCCCCTTTTCCAGAGCTGCACTGTCCCAGCTGCTTTCCTGCTGGGGTGTTTTTTTTGTCAGCCCTAAAGTCACTTTGGCTGCGGGTTTGGTTTTCGTGGTTCTGCTCGGTTGGTGAAACACAAACACCGTGAGGGTGCCAAATGCCCACAATACCGGTGTTCTCTGGGGCTGGGAGCACGGGGGGAAGGTGCTGCTATAAACAGGGGCTCCCTGGCCCCAGATGGGGAACACCAAGCTCTGCTGCTCACCGGGGGGACAGCGAGCACCAGGCTTTGCTCAGGTCACTGGCGGGTGCTGCCTGTCCCCTGTCGCTGCTGTTTGCCTCCCTGTGCTGATGGAGAGGGCAGCCTGACCCAGGGCGTGGGGACCCTGGGGACACCTGGGCCCCGTGCCAGCAGGTAATGGCAGGAGGAGCCAGGGCACCCCGGTGGTATTGGAGGAGGCTGGTGGGGAGCTGAGGGTCCACATCCCCCCAGGATGGACTGCATCCCCCCGGGGGTACATCAGAGTGAGCCTGGAGCTTGCCCTGGCCCCAACCCTGTCACCATGCAGGTACCAGAACCAGCCCCCCGGGCTGTCACCTGCCAGCCCTCTGCTCTGTCACCTCCCCAGCCCCTGCTCTGTCACCTCCCCAGCCCCTGCTGTGTCACCTCCCCAGCCCCCCAGTCCCTGCCCTGGCTGTGGGGAGGTTCTGGCCAATGCTCCTTCCTCCACCCAGAGATAAGAAGGGTGCGTGGCACAGGGTTTGGCAGCAGGACGTGGCACAGCTGTCACTCTGGGGTTGCATGGGACATGCTGGCAGGATGTCCAGTTGTCAGCAGCCTCTGAGCACCCACCTGGGTGCCTGGCTTTGCAGGGACCCCAGGCCTCTTTTCCTGCTTAGTCCAGGCTGCTCTGGGCAGTCTGGGACAGCTCTGGGTCCCGCACATCCCCAGTTTCTCCTGGGACAGCACAGCACAGCACAGCGCTGTCCCCAGCCTGGGGCTGGAGGTGACCCCGGAGCCTGGCCCTGGTCCCTGTCCCCGCTGCCTGGGAAGGGTTTTCGGAAGTGCCCGGGGGCTTGGGAGCCATCCCGGGCGCTGCGGGCAGCTCCCCTCCCGCGGCGGGGCCAACCTCCCGGTCCCACGGCGCTCCGGCACAACCTGTTCCACCGCTGATTGGATTTTAATTAACGGACCCATTGTTCGAGGGTGGGGGGTGGGTGAATTTATTTTTCTTTTTTTTTTTTTTTTTTCTCACTCTCAAGGGCCGATCCCAGCCTTCCACCCTGAGCCATGGTGGGCTGCCCTTGCCAGGAGAGCCCGGGGTGGCACGGGGGTCCTTGTCCCCGTCGTTGTCCCCCTCGGCTGGGTCCCTGCAGTCCCCTGGAGCCGAGCCGTGAGCCAGCAGCACCCGCAGCCCCGGGCTCGAGCTGGCTCCGTGCCCTGGGAGGTGCAGGAGCCCCATCCCAGCCCCACCAGCCCATCCCAGCCCCGTGCAGGCAGAGGAGCTGCCAAGGCTGATGCAATGACCGGCTCAGCCTCGCTCAGCTCGGGAAGGTTTGGGTGCCATGTGGACTTGTGCACCTGGGGCTGCCCCTCCAGCTCTCCTTTTCCAGGGAAATGCAAAAAGGGGTAGGGGAAGAGGGGGAAAAGGCCACCTGAAGTGGTTTCTCAGTGCAAACAGGTCCCACCCAGCCCGGCCGCCCGCGTGCCAGAGCGGGAGAAAGTCAAACAGCGGCCCCCGCCCTGGGAGTACAGCGCCCTTGGTGGGGCACACTCAGGCTTTTGGGGACACTTCCCGAGGGATTGGGTCCCTCTGGTCCAGCTGGGAGGAAGGGATGAGGGTGAGGATGGGGCTGGGACTGTCCATCCTTTGGTGTTCCCGAGGATGGTTCCACAGCCCCGCTCCCCCATGGCTGAGGATGAAGCTCAGAACATCCCAGAGGTGTTGGGAATGAGGCACCTGTCCCCTCCCAGACACCCCCACAGCTGGCACTGTGCAGCAGCAGGAGCTGCACAAGCTGTTACCACTTCCCCTTTGTGCTGGGAGCAGCGTGAGGCTGGATTTAGGGCTGATCCCCTAAAGCTCTTCTTTTAATCCCAAACAAATCAAAGAGAGGGTTGGAAGCGGGCACCATCTCTCAGGGAAACTGTTTGGATGGTGGGGGCAGCCCCAGACCAGAAGAGGGTTTGGGTTCTCTCTTCTCCCTCCTCCTCCTTGCTGTGGTGCCACCAAAACCACTCAGGGTGGTGGGCTGCAGCTCCTGAACCCACAATCCCTGCCCAGGTCCCCAGGGGCTCAGGATGCCGTGGGTGCTGTTTGGGTGTCCCTGGCTCTTCCACAGGTTTTTCTGAGCTCTTTGGCCTGTTCCAAGGATGAAGTGATGAGCTTGCCCCAAGTGCAGGCAATGCAGAACTTCAAAACCCTGGGAGCACTGAATCCTCAGGAGCCACATCAACCCCCCTGAGCAAGGGACACGGGCTGGGTCCCCATTGTCCCTCCTTCACTGACCACCCCGTGCTTGGGGGCTGTGCTCTGCCTGGAGGAACCATGTGGGATCTTTTCTTCTCATGTCTTTTAAACCTTTTCCCCCCCAGCTGGGGTTTGGAACAACAGGGTACCCCCTTTCCCTGGCCACTGCTCCCTGCTCCCCTCCAGGGCTGCCTGGTGTCCTGAGGGGTTTCCAACTTTGCACGTTCCTTTCCCAGTGCCAGCTCAATTACTAAAGCTCCTTTTCCTGCTTTTAAACTCCAAATTTGGGATGATTCTTCTCCTTGTAAAATGCAGTGCTGAAGGTGGAGGAGCTGAGCAGTGCCCTGGCCATGCCCTGGCAGGGGCTTCCCCTTCCCAAAGTCTCAGGATGGTTTTTGGGGAGGTTTCTCCACGGATGGAGCCATTCCCTGGTGTTGCCATGGAAATCCAGCAGGTTCATCCTCTTCTCCATGGCCTCCAGGATTCCCTGCATGCAGAGACAGATGGGGACAGGCTGATTTTGGGTAGTTTTTCTTGCAAGAGAGTGAAAGTAATTGCAATTATCCTGTCTTACAAGGGAAGTTCTCATCTGGGAGTTGGCAACAGTGACCAAGGGCCGGGTGCTGGGCTGGATCCCTCCTGGGGATCTGGGTCTGGGGGCTATTGTGCCTCAGGCAGAAGCAGCAGAGGATGTTTTCCATGCTCAGAAATGTGTCCCTGCAGCTCAAGCATCCATTGTCACCCCAGGGCTGTGCTGTCCAGGTGCTGGGGAGCCCCCCCAGTGTCCCTCACTGCCTCCCACCGAGGCCTCAGCTCCACCTGGGACTGAGCTGCTGCCATCCTGGGGTGCAGCCCCTGAGGAGACCCCAAACCCCCAGACCCTAAACAGGGCTCAGCTCCTGCTCATCTCCTGAGCCCCTTCTCCCTGCTGGCTGCTGCTGCTGTTGGTCCTCCCAAAGCGGGCACAGCCCCCCAGCCGTGGCTGACCCCGCACTCATCCGCAGGCACAGTGGGGCTCTTTGCAGGGTTTTTCCCCTCTAACAGGCTTAGTTCCTCCCTTTGTGCCTGGCTGCCGGGCGGGGAGGCCGGAGCGGTGCCGGGCTGAGCTCTGCCCCTCTCTCCTCCCCGGGCAGGTTTGGAGCCGGCTCTGAGCAGAGCGATGGGCAGTGCCAGCCCCGGGCTGACCACTCTGCCCCTCTCTCCTCCCCGGGCAGGTTTGGAGCCGGCTCTGAGCAGAGCGATGGGCAGTGCCAGCCCCGGGCTGACCACTCTGCCCCTCTCTCCTCCCCGGGCAGGTTTGGAGCCGGCTCTGAGCAGAGCGATGGGCAGTGCCAGCCCCGGGCTGACCGCTCTGCCCCCCGGCCGCCTCGCCTGGCCGGACCCCGCGCTGCTGCCACCCCCGCGGGACCCCGACCCCCGGAGCTGGGGCTGCCCGGAGAGCCCCAGCCCCCCCAGCACCCCCGAGCAGCCCTTGCCAGCATTCTGCCTGCACTACTTCGACATGCTCTACCCGGAGGACACGGCCTGGGCCAGCAAGGGCAGCGGGGAAGCGGCGCACAGCAGCGGCCAGGGCGGGCGGGAGGAGGCGCGGAAGGAGCCGGAGCAGTGTCCCATCATCGACAGCCAGGGCCTGGGGCTGGGGCCCGAGGGGGACCTGCAGGACAGCCTGCACCTGGAGGAGCACTCGCTGGAGCAGGTGCAGAGCATGGTGGTGGGCGAGGTGCTGAAGGACATCGAGACAGCCTGCAAGCTCCTCAACATCGCCGCAGGTGGGTGCCCCCAGGGTTCTCGCAGGGATGGATGTGCTGGCGTGGGAGCCAAAGCCACGCTGCATTTGGGGGGCTGCAGCCGTGTGAGGGGGTCTGGGGGAGAGCGGCTGCTCCCCACGGGAGGAGGGGACGGCTCCTGGCTTTAGCTCACCCCCCTCTGCCCCAGACCCCATGGACTGGAGCCCCGGGAACGTGCAGAAGTGGATCCTGTGGACGGAGCACCAGTACCGGCTGCCGCAGATCGGCAAATCCTTCCAGGAGCTGTCGGGGAAGGACCTGTGTGCCATGTCCGAGGAGCAGTTCTGCCAGCGCTCGCCCGCCTGCGGCGACATCCTGCACGCCCACCTCGACATCTGGAAGTCTGGTGGGTGCCAGGGAGGGAGCTGGGGAGGGTGGGCGAGGCTGTGCCGCAGGAGGTGCCCCCCTGATGCCCCGCTCCTCCCTTCCAGCCGCCTGGATGAAGGAGAAGGCTGCCCCGGGAGATGTCAGATACTGCGGTGAGTTCTGCGTGGGCTCAGCTCCGCTGGCCCCACTGCTGCTTCGGGCAGGTCGGGGGTGCTTGAGGGGTCCCTCGCTGCTTAATTGCAATTAGCCGGAGCGCTGGAGCCGCTGCTGCTGTGGGATCTGCGCGGCTGCGCTCCCTCTGCCCCAGAGCATCCCCGCGGCTCTCTGCAGAATCCAGCGAAGGGGGAATGGCTCGAACCCCTCACTGGGCCCGTCCCACACCCCTGCACCCCTGCGGGCCGGGCAAGGGCAGCACTGGGCTGCGAGGGGAAATGGCTCGAACCCCTCACTGGGGTTCCCACACCCCTGCACCCCTGCGGGCCGGGCAAGGGCAGCACTGGGCTGCTCTCCCTGCTCCAAGACAGGGAGGGGAAAGCAAATCTTCCAGAGCCAGAGCCGGGCTGAGCCCCGGAGACCCTCTGGCATCGAGCGGGGTTCCCTGGCGGGGACTCCAGCAGCTCCCTGGGGTGGTGCACAGCAGCGAGCTCTGTCCCTTCCCTCCTCTCACCCGTCCCTTCCCGCGGCAGGAGGTGACACCAGCTGGGCCGACAGCGAGGTGGACTCGTCCTGCGCCGGCCAGCCCATCCACCTCTGGCAGTTCCTCAAGGAGCTGCTGCTGAAACCACACAACTACGGCCGCTTCATCCGCTGGCTCAACAAGGACAAAGGTGGGCGGGCACGCTCCAGAGCCCCGGGGCGGGCGCTGGGGGGCTGAGGTGGGGCAGGAGATGCTGTAACCCTCCGTGCCCCGCTCCCCTGCCAGGCATCTTCAAGATCGAGGACTCGGCGCAGGTGGCCCGGCTGTGGGGCATCCGCAAGAACCGCCCGGCCATGAACTACGACAAGCTGAGCCGCTCCATCCGGCAGTACTACAAGAAAGGAATCATCCGCAAGCCCGACATCTCCCAGCGCCTCGTCTACCAGTTCGTCCACCCGGTGTGAGCGGCGGCGGGACCGGCGGAGCGCCGGGAGGGACGGGGGACCTCGGCTGCCTCCCTGTGCCCGGCCACAGAGAGCCTCTGCCAGCAGCAAGGACCTCGGCTGGGTGCGAGGCTTCCCCTGCCAGGACCTGCTGGCATCGGACACAGGGACCCCTCCCCTCCAGCACGGACCGTGCAGAGCCTTTGTCCCCCACGGGAAGGGTGGGCACCGTGCCTGGGCTTGTCCCCCCTCCTCTCCTCCCTCCCGGGTTCTGGCTGTAGGTGGCTTCACCCCAGCCATTGTTCAGGGAGGAAAAAGCCTGGGCATGAGCTGAGACAATGGGACACCCACAGGGACAGGGACACCCACAGGGACAGGGACATCCACTGCTGCTCATGGTGGGGCCCTGTCCCAATCCCTGTGGGATCAGCCTGGCACCAGCCAAGGGCGCTGCCTGCCATGGGGGCTGTGCCAATGGGGGCCTTGGGCACCCCCTTGGGCCAGGGGCATCCTCCCTTTGCTTTTCACTCCAGGACATGCTCAGCTGCCCCCCTTCACAGGGATTTGGGGCTGCAAATGGCAGTTCTGTATCCATGGCCCCATCTTTGTGCACGGGGCCACCAGAGTCCTCCTAAAACCCCTGGCACAAAGCTCTTCCTTTGATGCGGATTTTACTTGGACTGCCTGATTCTGGAGTTTGGGGAAATGGAGATGGCATCTTTGCCATTTCCTTCTGGATAATAAATCCAGAGTGTGACCCGCCGAGGCTGGACTGGGGCAGAGAGCTGGGCATTGCTTCACCTGCTCATTGCACCAGAGTTACCTGGCAATGTTGGTCTTTTATATTATCGGGGTTTTTTTTTATTTGGTTATTTGCTTTTTGGTTTTGGCTGGTGATGAGTTGTGGTTTAGGTTCAAATGCCAAGGGGTGGCCCAGGCTTCCAGAGATGTTCTGTGGGAGCTTAAAAGGAAAAAACACTTGGTTCTTGGTCTCTTGATTTTTTTCCTTAAAATTTCCACCAGTGCCAGCTACTGCCTTTCCTTTCTGTTCTTGCTCCGTGCTGCTCCCACCCTGGCAGGAGGGATGGAGGGCAGTGAGGAGCAGGGGAGGGAGGAAAACTGCCTTGGCCTTTGGAAAAGGGACTGGAAAAGCAAAAAAATGGCATGAAAGAAAAAAAAAGCAAAGTGTGTCTTTGATTTGCTGTGTGCTCCGGACTCAGCCGGTGCGGGGGCCGGGGGTGCCAGTGGTGCCCCAGATCCTGTGTCCCCCTCACAGCTCCCTGGCAGGGTGGGGAGGGCAGGAGGTGACATCAACCTGCTCTGACAGGCTCAGGAGAGCGCGGGGTCAGGGCTGTGCTCGGAAAATCCCCAAAACCTGCGTCCCCTCCAGCCCCGCCGTGGGTGTCCCAAGGCTTTGCCCGGCAGTGGCACAGGAGTCCCCAAAGGCAGTGGCTGTTCCCCTTGTCCCCCCAGCAATGCATCCCAGCCCCCCATCCTGCTGCACCCCAAAACCTTGGGGTGGGGGTGTCGCTACCTGGGGGTGCCATGGGGGTCCAAAACCACCTCAGCCACCCCCCGGGGGTGGGACAGACGCACAGCAAAGGAGACCCCAGAGCCAAGGACGCTGACAGAGCTCGGTTATTTTCTCTTGCTGCTTTTTGTTGTTGTATCCACGGAAATACAATCACGAGAGATATATATATTATATATATACTTCTTAAATTACACAATCAATGTACAAAAACCGGGGTGCATTGCTGAGACAGGTGGTTGGTTGGGTCTTTTCTGACTTTGTGGGTTTTTTTCCGGTACCTGGCAGGGGCTGGATGGCTCCCGCCCACCGTGCCCAGCACACGGTGCTTCCCCTGCATCCACGAGAACACGGGATCCCTGGGGCCAAAAAATTCACGAACCAACGGAGGGGGCAGGAAAGGAGCAGGAGGAGCGTGCGGGAAGCCGATGGCATTGATGCTGCTAAGGGTGATGGTATGGAAAAAAATGAGAGATGATCCGTAGGGAAGAGCTCGGCACGGCAGACGCACCCGAGGCAGGGGGTGGGGTGGCCGTGCTGGGTGGCAGCGGCCGCGGGAGCTGCGGGGCCGGGGCAGAGCCCAGGGGAGGAGGGGTAGAGCTACGTGGGGACAAGCAAAGGGCAGAGCCTGCGGCCGTTCCCCTGCCTTGGCGGGTCTTGTTTCTTCGCCGGGCAGCTGCTCTGCCTGGGCTGTATCCTGAGCCCTCCTCCTGAGCTGCACTCCTGCCGGCATCCTGCAAGGCAGGGATGCTCATCCCCCGTCCCTGCTCTGCTCCTGCCTCTCTTCAGGAAGGGGAGGATGGGGACCGTCCCCAGCAGTGCCCAAGGCAGTCCTCGCTATCCCAGGCTGGGCATCAAGGTGCTTCCAGCAGCACCGGGCCCTGGTGGGTCCCTCTCCGGACAGTGCTGGATTTTAGGGCCATCTCACCTGGATCTGGTGTGCGTTGGATACCTGCCCACCCGAAGGGGGATGCTGCTCCCTGCAGCACAGAGCGGGCATCGGCTCGGGAGCCTCCGCCCGCTCCAGCTGCGCTGACAGCCCAGCCCGGACGGGGAGGAAGCTGCGGAGATGCCAGCAAGCTCCGTGGCGGGGCTGGTCCCGCCTCACCTGGGCATCTCAAGGATGGCCGCGGGGATGAAGGGGGCATTCACCCCCTTCCTCGGGGCGGGAGGATGAACTGGGGAGAACATGGAAACACCAAAAAAAAATAACCAACGGAGTCACACTCCAATCCCTCTTGGTTTTCTGGGATGAATTTGGTTGGTCCCAGGAGCTTCGGCGCCGTGCGTTTCAGAACAGTTCCAGCCAATCAGAAGGCGGCTCATGATTTCAGTATCTTTAAAAACCAACCAATCAGGAGCTCTCACTGGTTGGGCTTTAAGATCTTGAGGTATCGGCTTTTCGCTCAGAAAAACAAAACAAAAAAAAACTCAACTAACGTAGACGAACGGACAACGTCATCTTTCGCTTCACGTTATCTTAGAAGAAAGCGACTATGCAAAATACTCTTCGGAGACAACTCTTAAAAAAATAAAAGCTTGGTCGGAAAATATGTCTGAATCTCTAAGGGTGAGGAGTGAAGGACCAGACGGCAGAATGGCTGGTTGGCTGGTGGAGAGATGGAGACAACGGAGGGTGGATTTATCTGCTGACGGTGACGAGGAGCACACCACAAGACTTAGATTGCCTCCACGTAGTTGGCGGGGTACAGCCCCAGCTGCCCGTTGTCCAAGCGCCCTTTGCACCACCCCTGCTCGTCTTCCTCACCGAGTTTGGTTAGTTCATCACCTGGAGAGGAAGGTGGAAGGGAAGAGCTCATTGCAGGTGCTGGAAATTCTCCCACCCCCTTTTGCTCCCTGGGATGGAGCGGCTGGGGGTTTGTGGGATAGAAAGGCAAGGGGTGACTCATGAGCCCTCACGTGCCCTGTCCCTTCCCATTGCTCCTGTCCCTTCTGCCTTTGGGCTCAGCTTCTGCCTTCCCCTTTCTGCCAGTTCAACTCTCTGAAGGGCTGGGCCAACTCAGAAATTATTTGAGGGATTTCACACCCACAGCTCCAGCAGCCGAGCCCCATCCTACCCGGCACTGGCAAGGGACCGTACCTGCTTTGAAGCTGAGCTCATCCTGCTCCTGCCCGTCGTAGTCGTACAGAGCCCGCACCCTCACGCCCTTCCCCGCCGACTCCTCGTCGAAGGGGTTGGCGCCGCCGTTGGCCTCGCTGGTGTTGAAGGAGTTGCTGCCCTCATCATCGGACCACTCGGCGCTGTAGGTCTGCCCGCGGTCGTGGCTGCTCACACTGGGAGGGGGAGGAGAGGGAGGGGTGGCTCTCACCGGGGTCATCCCACATCCCCAAATGCTTGCACAGGCACAGCCCGTGCCTCTCATGGCACCTGCCCTTCATGCCGGCCCTCACCTCCCGCGCTCGCCCGCCTGAGCCCCCGTGTCGCCCGCGCTGCTGGCGTTGGTCAGGGCCACCCCCTCGCCCTTCTTCTGCTTCTCCTTTCGCGTTATCGTGTGCGTCAGGTCCGGGTTCCACTCCTGCAAGCACAGAGTGACCAACCCCTGAGTGCCCGGCTGCCCTGCAGCGCTGCCAGCACCCAGGCAGGGCGCCCAGCCTCACCTCAAACTGGGGCCAGTTCATGGGCATCCCGGGGCCGCTGGTGCTGCGGAACCACCGGAGGTCCTCCTGTGCGTCCGACATGCGGATGGTCTGCTCCAGCTCCCGGTACACGTTGGCGTAGCTGTGGGGTGAGACGTGTTTGGGGGGCTGTGAGTCAGGGTGGGGCCCTGGGGACAGTGTGGGACAGGGACATGGCCAGGCTGTGTCACCTGGGGGGACAGGTTGTGTGTCCTCCAAGCCACCGGGGGGCGCCAGGCTCCTGCACGGCCTCCTGCCACTCTGGTACATCTTGGTGACCATCATGTTGGCCAGAATTCACTGCCCCTACCTGCTGCTCTCGGCCAGGTTCAGGTGCCTCTTGATGTCCAGGAGCATTTCCTTGAGGAAGTTGAGCCTCTTCTCCTCGAACTGCTGGCACTGCTCGAAGACCTGCTCCATGCTCTCGATGTACTGCGGGGTGCACTTGTTCAGCTCGTCCAGCACCTTCTCGTACTTCTCCTGAGTCTGCAAAAACACAGGAGGGACCCTGGTAGTACCTCAGAGGCTGTTTCTGCCTGCTGAGAGGTCTGGTTTGGGGTCACCAGAGCTGGGGAGCCCAAATTGAGCCAGGAGCCTCAGTAGGTGGAATCAGGCCCCATAAGTGGGGTAAATCCCTGCCCAGCTCACACTCCCTGAGCACTGCCTGCAAGTCCTTATCCTCCAGGAGCACAGGGATGGGAAAATGGGAAATGATGGTGAACAAAGGGATATGGTGGCCATCTCCTCTGGTTTCCCTTGCCCAATGCCCCGTGCGTCTGGCACAGGGCAGTGCTTCACACCTTTTGCACGTCTTGCTTGCACTTTTCCACTTTGTCCTGGAGCTTCTTCTGCTGCTCAGGAGTATTGGACTGATCCGCCTTGCTGTTGGCTTCACGGGTCATGGCCAGCTTCTCCTCCTTGCATGCCAGGTGATAGGCTTTCTTGGCTGTCTCCAGCTGTGGGGAGGACAGGGAAAGGACATCAGAGTAGCAGTCACAGCCCCCTGCCAACCCTCTGCCTGTGGGGAGGTGCCATGTGTCTCTCCCAGCCTGGAGTGGGCACACAGGGCTGGACCTGGGGACACAGGATTGCCCCAGGACACTCTGTGCTTCTCTCACCTCCTTGAGCTTCTTGGCCCAGGGCTTCTGGGCTTTCCGGAAGCCATCCTCAGCCTCCTTGGCCTCCTTGAAGCCCCCCATGATCTGCTTGTGGTAGGCGTCCTTCTGCCAGTTCTTGACCTTCTCGAAGTCGTCGTTCAGGAGGCTGTTCTTCACCTCCTGGTGCAGCTCGCTCACCTTGTCCGCCTCCGTCATGATCGCGGCCCACGCCTTCTCCAGGCTGCCATACTGGGGACCTGGGGGCCGAGGGGACAGCTGGGGTCACCCCACTGCCCTCACCCCCTCCACTTCCGCCAGGTGAAGCTGTGATTGTACACGGGGACCCAGGTGTCCTGGGGAAAGCCTCCCGTGGGGAAGCCACGGTACCTTTCTCGATGAGCTGCCTCCACCGCTTGGACCAGTCAGTGAGCTGCTGGGCGTAGGACTTCTCGATCTTGGCCCGCTCGTGCACACAGTTCATGAGGTCATTGCAGAGCCGGTGTCCATCATCGATCCGCTTCACCGTGCGCTTGTAGTTCCCCACCTGGGACGGGCACGGGGACAGGCAGGTGTGGGGGCTGTGACCATCCTGGCTCAGCCCCAGCTGCGCTGGGGTGGCTACAGGGGAAGCACCAGGCAATTTGGGGGTGCAGGGATGGAGCTTTGGGTTGGGGCTGCTCAAGCCAAACTCCCTCCAACCCCTCTGTCACTCAGGGACAGCCAAGACTGAGACTTGGGCAGAGCCAGATCAGACACAGAGCCACCACAGCAGGGACGCTCTCGGGCAGAGGAGGGAGGGTAGCCCCCAGCCCAGGGGACACCTCGGGGTGCAGTGACAGTGGCGGTCTGTGGGAGAAGGGGGTGGCCGGGACTCACCTCCCAGAAGCTGTCGGTTGTCTCCTCGGCGGCCGATGCCGACTCGTCATAGGAACCCGACATGGCTCCCGGCGCTGCCTCGGGCGGCAGAGCACACGCTGGGGGTTTCCTGGGCAAACACCAGCCTCATGCACTGAGGGGACAGGAGAGGAGAGTCACAGGCGGGCAGGGGACCCCCATTCCTCCTGCCAACAGCTCCGTGGGACAAGTGTCCCAGTACAGGGGATGGACAGGGGGACAGTGCCCTCTCCAGCTCTGGACCCACAGACTCCTCCAGTGCCCACCACCCACTGGGTGCTATCCAGCAGCCCTGGAGCCAGCGGTGCTGGGAGGGAGTCATGGGGAGCAGCACGGTGGGAGCTCACTGGGCAGAGCCTGGCTCAGCACTGGGAGCCGCTGGGCGAGGGGCCATGGCAGGGTCAGGGGATGCACCGCCCAAGAAATTCTCGTCCTGATATTCCACCCTAATCCGTCCTGATCTTCAGAAAAACGGCATCCCCGGAGCGCCACGTGGCCCCGCTGCGTGGCTTAACCCTTTGCTGCTTTGCTGAGCGCTGGGAGGGGGCTGGTGGCTGAGGGTGGCACCGCACGGGGGCAGAGCAGGGACTGTGGTGGCCGTTTTCCTAGGCATCCTCCTCATCATCCCCATCCTGACCTGGATTTGGACAGTGTTTCCACAGGAAAGCACTGGGCCTATCCTGCATGGCATCTGCCACCAGGATGGGGACAAGATGGCCATGAACAGCTCAAATTTCCTCCTGCCCTGTCCCTAAAAGGGCTGAGAGAGATGTGGCCACAAACCTCACACTCCATCCCTTCCCTGGGGAGGTGGAATGGGCAGAGGGAGGCCCGGCCACCTGTGCTCTGCCCCGTGGTGGGGAGGGAGGGCAGGGCTGGGGGCACAGGGTCCCGTGGGGAGCACTGGTGAGTGCCCACGCTCTCCAGCTGTGCGCACAGCTGGCCCTGAGGTGTCCCCAGGCCAGGGCAGGGCATGGCCCCAGGAGCACGGGGACCTGAAACAGTTACTGGAGAACGGCGCAGGGCTCGCTGTGCTGGAAGTAACAGGCCCCGGCAGGGATTTAGTGATATAACCAGGGAGGCACCAATCCCCTCCACCCTCCCCAGACGGTTAAAAATAAACGCGTGACTGTCCCTCGCTCAGCCGCCGAGACGCAGATGGATGGGGGACAGCAGTGTCCCCCCGCAGCTGGCAGCACGCAGCGCCCGCGCCTGCCTGGCACCCACGGCACCGCCACCGCCACTGCCTGGCACCCACAGCACTGCCACCACTCCTCCCAGCACCCACGGCACAGCCACTGTCCCTGCCTGGCACGCACAGGACCACTGTGCCTGGCATTCGTGGCACCCCACTGCCACTGCCTGGCACCCAGAGCACCAACACTACTGCTGCCTGGCACCCACAGTGCCACCACTGCTCCTGCCTGGCACCACAGCACTGCCACCGCCGTCCCCACCCCAGCACCCGCAGTGGTGACAGAGCACCTGGTGGCACAGCCCCAAGGGACCGCGCAGGTGCTGCATGCTTCCTCTCCCCTGAAAGCTGCGGGCACAGCGCAGTGCCCAGGTGTTGTGCCCTGGGTTTTGCTGCAATGGCTGCGCTGGCATGGCAAGGGCACCCTCAGGGTGACAGCGCCACGCGCCAGGGCTGGGACGGGGACAGCAGGGAGGGAGCACGCCCATGGCTGGGTGTACCCCAGGACCCACGGGCACAGTGCCAGCCCCTGCTGCCCCCGTGAGCCACTCATGCCATGGGGCACTGCGGACGTGGCTGCTGCAGCTCCCTTTCTGAGCCACTACCTGGTCCGAGCTGCAGCCTGGGGGTTATTTTTGGCTCTGCATCACTTCCCAGCTAACGCTGCCGCCTCGCCGCCACTCTCCCGCCACACACCCCCACACACGACCACCCTCGCACGCCCGTGCACGTGCGTGTGCCCCCACCGTGCCAGGCCGCCTCGGCCGCCTGTGCCACACGTGCCAGCCCCCTGCCAGCCCCCTGCCAGCCCCCGGCCCTGCCAGCACAGCCCATCTCCTCGCATCAGGGCGGCCGGCGGTGATGCCTGGCGCCTGCAGAGCCGGCGGCCGAGCTGCGGCGTGGAGAGCTGCCAGCCCCAGCCAGGCGCTGCCGCTTGGGTACCCCCGGCCTGGGGGGCTCCACTTCGGCCCCTCGCCTCCACGGAGCTGCCAGGGAGAAGCCACAGAAGGTTTGGCATCAAGTGACAGAGGAGTTTGTCCCAGCTCCTGCTCCACGTGCCCTTGGGCTGCTGCTCCTGCAGAAGTGGCCCCGCTGTGTCTCTCCTGTCAGCGTGCTGGGTGCTGAGCACTGACACAGCTCTCCTCACCCTCCAGGCAGCTCCTGCTGCCCTGCTCCTGCAGGGGGGTCTCTGCCCTCTGTGGGCATGGCCCTGTGCAGGCAGGAGGCTGCTGCAATGCAGAGGCTGGTGCTGCTGACACCACGGGCATGGCATGGGCAGATGCCTGCATGCCCACGGCAGAGCCCTGGCTGGCACAGCCCTGTCCCCAGGGAGATGGGACAGTCCAGTCCTGCTGTCCCCTGTCCCCAGGTTGCTCTCTTCAGGTGTGTTTGCTGTCCTAGACCCAGCATCTCTCCTGCAGCCAAGAAGCAGGGTTTGGAGATGTCACACTTCTACTCCTGGGCACATTGGCCGAGCCTGGTGGGGACCAGGGGCAGGAGTGGCTGCAGAGCCTCTGGTGCAGGTTCCTCTGCTGCCAAGAGCCCCTGGCTAAGGCAGAATGGTGGCAGAGGCACTGCAAGCAGAGGAGCAGAGCACAGTCAAGATAGTGTCCCCATACCTGTCCCCACGCTGTCCCCAGGCAGGAGGTTCACACCAGGTGGGAGCCCCGTTGCTGGGAGGGCAGTGGGTGAGTGACCCTTGCTGAGAGCATCCAGGGCAGGGGGAAGCCACACTGAGAGCTGCACTGGTCTGTGGGAATCCAAGCAAGTGGGCTGGGCCTTGGGCTTTTGGCCACAGGAAAGGTCATTTGCTCTCCCTTAGTACAGGGCTGCTTGAGGGTCCATTTTGGGGTGCAGAGCCAATGCCACCGTGATGCACCACTGTGGCCACTCATGGCAAAGACAAATGGATTCAGCCAAGGAGGTCCAGAGGAGCCTGGCAGCAGATCTACCACCATGTTCTGGGGCTGCATCCACCAGCACCCATGTGCTGCTCCCAGTGCGGCCACACACGGGGGCTTGAGGTGGCCACACACAGGGCTTGAGGTGGCCAAACATGGGGGCTGAAGTGGACAAGGCACAACAGCAGGTCCCAGGGAAAACCCGTGACACCGATGTGCATTGCAAGAGGCTTTGCAGCTGCAGGAGCTGTGCCTGGTTTGCTGCTCAGTCTGACCCAGCTGAGTGGCTGTGGGATTCCCACACCGGGGCTGCTCCGTGTGCCCCATGGGGCTGGGAAACGCTCCTGGAGCTGGCAGGGGTCAGAGCTCAGGGAGCCAGAGAGTGTGGAGGGGTTTGGCTGTGGTGTGGCTGAAGCATAGCCCCCTCCAGAGCCCATGGAGACCCTGTGAGGAAAGGGTTAAGTGGGTGCTGCTGATTCACGCTGGCAGCTCAGCATCAGCAGCACCAGGGGCTCAGGGCTGAGCAGCCCCAGCACCATCCTGCCCTCTTGTCATCAGACCAAGCCCAATGCCAGGCAGGTGGGGAGCCTGGGCCCTTCCAGGGTACTGTCTCCATGGGAGCAGGCTCATGTAGGGTCCCTCCTGCATTCCATGGCAAAACCCATTTGGCTGCAACATGAGCAGGGCTGGAGCCCTTGGGCAAAGAGCCAAACCCAGAATGGTGGGTGATTCTCCATGGGATTTCAGCCAGAGCAGCACCATGGGGCTGCCCAGGACCCAGCAGTGCGTGAGGTTGCTGCAAGGGCAGCAGGACCCTGGAGGGGGCACATAGGTAATGCTGGAAAACTTCTGGGAGCCACTTTTCCAAGGAATCCTGGATGGAATGTGCCTATGGCAGCCTCCTTGCTTCCATCAGGGTCATCTGCATTGATGGGGGATCTGGGGCCTGGGGACCTGCTGGACCCCGCAGGGTCAGGGCTTGTGGGCTCCCCCAAACCAGAGAGGAGGTTCAGTGATCCAGGAGCAGTACCAGGAGCCTCGTGTCCTGTGCACAGACGGGAGGCCGCCGGGGGCCAGGTGCTGCCAGGTTGCAGTAGCCAGGGGAGACACATTTGCTCCAAGCCCTGGCAGGGATCGGCTTCACAGCTCATGTGGGCTCTGCAGAGAGCTTCCCCTTCCCCCTGCGCTCCCAAAACCGCCCTGCTCAGGGCACCCATTAATCTTCTAGGGATTTTAGGAGCCTTGTGCAAAAATTTCGGGAAGCTTGTTTGGCATTTGCAGATAACGCAAGCGTCTCTCCAGGGGAGCCCGCAGCCCAGCTCAGGGACAGCGGATGTGCAGGGAATGCGGATGGGGAATGTGGATGGGGATCCCTGAAGGGGCAGCAGCAGCAGGATTGCCAACACCCTGCGTGTGCTCAGGGCTGGGGAAGGGAGAGGGGCTCAGCCTCAGCTGGGGGCTCCACTGGCTGCCCAGCTCCGCAGCTCTGTCTCATCCTGCCGCCTCGGCTCGCCGCGGTAAACAAGGCTGCTCGGACAGCGAGCAGGGATTTGTGCAGTCCCGGGAGCCGGGTTTAGGCAGAAATCCAAAGATGAGGTTTGCAATTAAACCCAGAAGTGGCAAACGGGGATGGTGGAGGATACGGCGGTGCCATCCCCCCGCACCAGGGAGGGGGAAGCGGAGCGTCACGCGCTGCCACGGGGGTCCCGGCCCCTGAGCCTCGGTGGGATGGACCCGGAGCTCGTGGCGACAGAAGGCAAATGGGGCTGCTGGGAGCAAGAGAGGTGGAGGGACAGTGGAATTTCAGCTGTCGGTGGTGGAGAAGAGACGTGGAGCCAGAGGGGACGGGAAAGTGGGGAGATGGGGGGCAGCAAGGGAGAAGCTGGGGTGACACGGCTGAAAGGAGGGGGTTCAGTGATGGGGTAAGGTGTTTATTTGGGCAGGGGGACAGCCATGACAGGGACAGCACAAGTTCACCCCATTATTTGTAGATGGGGAAACTGAGGCACAAGCCCGGGAGTGCGGCAGCACTGCAGAAGGGGTGTCCCTCTCCCCAGCACCCCACTGGACACACGGAGGGGGTGAAGGTCATACACCCCCCCAACCTCCCTGGATTGCAGAAGGGATCAGGGGACACTGTGTCCTGCTGGAGGGTGCAAAGCCATGCCTTACTGCCCGGTCCTTGCACTGCAACCCCCCCCGCCGTCCCC